TGGATGTACGTGTTATGCTCATATTCAATCCCATCACCGAGACAAGCTGGATCCCAAGGCAGTTAAATGTGTTTTCATGGGTTACTCCTCCAGTCAAAAAGGTTACAAATGTTACAATCCATGTTCCAGGAAGCTATTTGTCTCAAGAGATGTAAGGTTTGATGAGATCAAACCTTATTTCAACAAACCATCAGATCAAAATCGTCAGGGGGAGCAATTACTAGATCTCTTTCCATTACCAAATTCAGGGGAAATAAGTGATTGTGTTCATTCAGTACCTCACGACAGTGACTCTCATGCAACCATTAATGACAACGTGATTATTGGAGATGAAACTGAAGCCTCAGAAGCACAAGTTGTTCCTCATGACAATGACACATCATCTATAGAGGAGAGTGGAGCTGAACCTACTATAATCCCATCTCAACCTCGAAGGAATCCAACTCGAAATAGGCATCCACCATCAAGGCTACAAGACTATGTAACGTACAATGCAAGGTACCCAATTCACAAGTATGTAAATTACTCCAAAGTCTCTCCCTCCCATGCAGCTTTTCTCAGTAAACTGTCAAATGAAAGTGAACCGAGGAATTTTCAAGAAGCCAATCTTCAAGATGTTTGGAGGCTAGCCATGGAAGAAGAACTCAAGGCTTTGGACGAAAATAAAACCTGGAGTGTAGTCCAACTTCCAAAGGGAAAGAAGGTGGTAGGCAGTAGGTGGATCTACAAAACCAAGTTTAATTCTGATGGCTCAATTGAAAGACACAAGGCAAGATTGGTGGCTCGCGGTTTCACTCAAACGTTTGGAGTTGATTATAAGGAGACATTTGCTCCCGTGGCTAAGATGAGTACAGTGAGGGTTTTGTTATCTGTTGCAGTTAATCATGAGTGGCCGTTGTACCAAATGGATGTAAAAAATGCCTTTTTGCATGGAGACCTTGAAGAGGAAGTTTACATGCAATTGCCTCCTGGTCATCCACAAGCACAAAATTCAGGTATGGTTTGCAAGCTTCACAAGTCAATTTATGGATTGAAACAATCTCCACGTGCTTGGTATGCCAAGCTGAGCTCAGTACTTGAAAAATTTGGTTTCAAGAGAAGTCATGCTGATTCATCCTTGTTTGTTCGAACTGGATTAGTTGGTAAACTAGTTGTTCTAATCTATGTTGATGATATTATCATCACAGGTGATAATATTGATGAGATTAACACTCTTAAGCATTCTCTTCATCAGAAATTTGCCATTAAAGACTTAGGAGTGTTAAAATACTTCCTTGGGATTGAAATGGCTACTTCTTACAAGGGAATGTTTTTAAGTCAACGAAAATATGTGATTGACTTGCTTCAAGAAGTGAAGATGATGGATTGCAAACCGGCTCGTACTCCTCTTGATAGCAAATTGAAGTTAGACTTGGAAGGATAGCCTCTCAGTGATATAGTTTACTACCAAAGACTGGTGGGTAAGCTTATATATCTCACCATTACTAGACCGGATATAACTTACGCCGTCAGTCTTGTAAGCCAATTCATGCATGCACCCAGTGAGGCTCATTTAAATGTTGTTAAAAGAATTCTAAGATACCTTAAGGGCTCTATTGGTCGGGGAATTATCATGAAGAACAATGGTCATACTCAAATCATGGCATACACCGATGCTGACTGGGCAGGGAATGCTATTGATAGAAAATCCACTACTGGCTACTGCACGTTTGTTGGAGGAAACATCGTGACATGGAAGAGCAAAAAGCAAAATGTAATTGCTCGCTCAAGTGCCGAAGCAGAGTACAGAGCCATGGCTTCCACTGCATGTGAACTCATTTGGCTCAAGGGCCTTATCTCAGACTTGGGTTTTTCAAGCAACAAACCTATGTCTCTTTTTTGTGACAATCAGGCAGCTATGCATATTGCCTCCAATCCCGTGTTCCATGAACGCACCAAACACATTGAAGTTGACTGTCACTATGTTCGTGAACAAGTTCAGTCCAAGGTAATTCAAACCACATTCACTCGGAGCCATGATCAACTTGCTGACGTTTTCACCAAGTCTCTTGCTTCCACGCAGTTTCAACGTTTGCTCTCCAAGCTTGGATCAATTAACCTCCTTGATCCAGCTTGAGGGGGAGTATTGGAAGATTGGTAACCGTTAGCTACCTATGATTAGCTTGGTGGCTGCTAGCTGTGATTGGCTAGTGGTTGTCTCACTTCCTTATTTTAGGGGATGTGTTGTAATTAATAGTTTTTCCTATAATTATGGGTTAAAGTTAAGGGTTGGTGTGTGTTGGCAGACAGCCCCTAAACTGACCACGTGTGTGTGTTGGTAGACAGCCCCTAGAGTGGCCACACCAGCTTATGCATATATATACCTCTGTAACCGTGGAAACATAATATAATGAGAAATTACATTCTCTCTGTCATTTTCAATAGATAGGGAATTTGGCATCTGAATCTGCTCTAGTTATATTTGGTTTAGGCCTCTAAGGATTGCAGATATATTTGAAATTGTGGGATTTTTTTTCAATATTTATGCTCATCTGGTTCCTTCTTTTATTGTTGTTCAACAGGGTTTGCTCCCAAGCTTCAGAGACATTAGAAGATCCTTGGCAAGGGAGCTTGTAGTTTTGCAGGAAAAGCTTGATGATCTAATCGCTAAGAAATGTCAAGATACGCCACGGGAGGCATCCACTATTACACGTGTGGAAGAGTTCAGTTCCAATGCCAACAACAATAACTACATGCTAGAGCAAAAAGATGAAGTGAAAGGACTTGGTGAAGGACCGGCTGATGGTGGTAGTGATAGCAGTCACCAAGCGACAGAGCCTTGTCAAGGGCATGTGCTTCACACTATCGATTATGTGCTTGCTTTGAGAACCAAGGAACCAGACCTCTCTGACCATGGAGAGCTGCACAAAGCATCTGAGTATAGTGCTCAAGAACTGCCAGTGGCAAGTGGTCTAAAATCTGAAGATCTTGGTTCGGAGTCCGTTATGGAACAGAAGAATGATGTGGTTAATGGACAAAATAATTCTGGAGAAATCAGTACGTTAAACACAGAAATGGGCAATGGTTCCACTGAGCTCGAGCAATGTAGTGAATCTCCATCTCTTGTAGAAGACAAGACAGTTTGTACAGGTATCTCTTCTGAAGTTGTTAATACGAATCCACAGACAATAGAGCTTGAAGAGTTGCCTCGAGGAGCAACTGATAATGAGCCTGCCATTTCAGAGCCTGAGAAGGATGAAAAAATAGAAATGAACAAGAATGGAGTCCAACAAAGTGGAGAAGTGGAATTAGAAATGTCACCAGATGTAAATTCACCCAATGCTGGTGCTAATGTGACTGATAAGGAAGCAGAGATGCATGAGCAAGCAAATTTGCCGCAGAGCATGATCAATGAGGAGAGTCTGGCTAATGAGTTTAAGAAGATCGAAGAAGTCGAGGTAGTGAAGGAGGATGATGTCTTAGAAAGTGGAGAAGAAGAACATCAAATGGTACTTGATGCCACTTCACAGCATGATGGGACTCCAAATTTGGATCAATTAGAGCTACAGCCAGAGGGAGAAATGGAGGAGCAGCCTATTCTCCAATCGAAGGAGCGAGTAAAGATGGATTCTCACGAGGATGAGGAACTCCCTGGAGATTCAGTGCTCAAGGCAGAGGTGGAGCTCCCTCCACAAGAAGAAGCCAGCAAAGATGATTTTCTCCCGCTGGTCTTTGAGTCGATCGAATCCCAACCATTGAGCTTACCTGTTCAGATCGAAACTCATGATGTCATGCATGAAGATGGACCTTCAGATATAATCGACAGTGATATTACTTGCTCCTCTGTATTGGCTGATGCAGGGAGGCCTATCGAGGATGAAGTGCCAATTGAGAGAAGTACAGAAGACTCAAAATACCAGCCAGCAGCAACCGCCAGAAAGGACAGAAAGGTGGAGGATAACAAAGTTGAATGCGAGGACGACAATAGACTGGCAAGTGGTGCTGAAACTGCCAAAGAGAATCTCTTGCTTGAGACACAATCTACTCCAGTGCAGAAGACTGAATTGGCATCCCCCACCAAGGGATGTGTCGTGGGAGTTGAAAATGAAAGAAGCCTAGTTGAAGAGAATGAGAAACTCAGGGAAATGATGCAGAAGTTGATGGAAGCAGGAAACGAACAGCTGCAAGTTATATCTAAACTGACCGGAAGAGTGAAAGACTTGGAGAAAAAGCTGGCTAAGAAGAAGAAAGTAAGGACAAGAAGGTATAGAGCAGCATCACCACCTGGAACTTCTTGCGTCAAACCATCAAACAATCCGCTGAAGGAGAGGGCAGTTGGTGTTGCAATGTGAAGAAAGGTCACTCCATGTCTCGATCATTCTTGAAACAAATGTTGAGTTATTGTCTGTGGGGTTTGAATCTCTTTGTATCTACAATGTGCGAACTTTGTATGGTCTTTCTAAGTTTTACAGAATAATAAAGAACTGTTTGAATATATATCTTCCATCTTGCGTTGTTCGATTTCTATCTTTGATACAGTAGTTCTCGAGTCTTGGGTAGTTTGCGGAAAAAAAAAATGTTGGCTTGTCACGAATTACTCTGCTTAATGACGAGCTCACTATCGAAGGGTAATCCGAAACGTGAATGCAAGATTGTGAGCTCACTACCCTTCTTAATTAACTTAAGCTACACCTGCTTATACATGAACTTTAGACATAATTCATGGAACTCATAAGTCATCTTAGTTCTTAATTTTCAACTTTTTTTAATTGAACTCTTAAATTATCATAATTCTAAATTTCCACATTTTTCGCCACTAATTGCCACTTGGCGGGTGGACATTTCATGATGGCAGTAGGAGCTACCTATTACAGGAAAAGTGGTTAACAATAAAAATGGAATGCCAGTTGGAAGTTAAAATTAAGAAAGATAAACGGTTAATAACACCATTAATTTTATTTTACCATCCAAGTGCCAACTAAAATCCACTGGTTTTACTTTAACCCCAGTTGCACCACAAATTTTACTCAACTAGATCATCCACCCTGTAAACACTGGACTCTGGACAACATGGCCAAACCCAAACCAACCACCTCATTTCCCAGAGAATATTCCCCCAACTAAATCGGACCCACCGACTTCGGAAGCTCGTGTTTTTCTACACAGCCCCCCGCCCCTCCAATCCTTCCCGCTCTGGCTCTCTTAACCGGCATGTCTTACGGCGACTGCCCTCTGGTTCTTGAATCTCATCAAGACCGTCCGCTTTCTTCACTGCTTTCTTGATCGAATCGCGTCCGTCGATTCGCCCCCGAAAGCGATGATGAAGAAAGAAAACGGAGATCACGAGGGCACGATGCGCGTGCTTGAGATCCACCTCATCTCCGCCCAGGGCCTCAAAGCCCCCGCCGGTACCTTGCGCCGCATGCAGACCTACGCCCTCGCCTGGGTCGACTCGGCCCACAAGCTCCGATCCCGGGTCGACAAGATCGGAGCCTCGAACCCCACCTGGAACGACCGGTTCCTCTTCAAGGTCCCGCCGGGCTTCCTCTCCAGCGAGACCTCCGCCGTCTCCGTCCAGATCTACGCCATCGGTACCTTCCGCGATCACCTCGTCGGCTCCGTCCGATTTCTGATCAACAATTTTCTTGACGTCCACTCCAAGATGCCGTCGTTTACCGCGCTCCAGATCCGGCGACCTTCTGGAAGGTTCTACGGCGTGTTGAATATTGGAGCGATGGTGATCGACGGCTCTGATCTGGCCCCGGCGGTGAACGAGATGTCGGCGATCGGATACCGTGATCTGATGGGGAAGGGAGAGAGCTTCGGGCGCAGACGCCGCCACGGCGACAGCATGAGGATCAAGTCGAAGGATTACTCTGGCGACTCAAGGGAGAATTCTTGTGCCGAGTCAACGGAGAACTCGGACGCTGGCGAGTCGGTGGCGTCATCTCCGGCGACGCCATTGCCGCCTCTGAAGGAGCTGAACGGGGTAGGAGATTTGGCGGGAACAACCAAGGTGTTGAGGACTGCTCCATCGGACGGCTCGCGTTTCTTGTGCTGCTTGCTGACGCAGAGGAAGATTCAATACACTCCGACGGATCAGAACCCGGATGGGGCCCACAGCAGAGAAAGGTAAAAGTGAAAAAGTTAAAAACAAAAAAGTAGAAGATTGAAAAGAAAATGGGTTTTGATTTTGAATCTTGATGAGCGTTGATGGAAGTGGAGGTTATTCGTGGGTTTTGATTGTGGAAGAAAAATTGCGTGAATATTGCCGGTGGAGATGAACACAGGTTGGATTAATTGCTGAAGAAGAGAGCATTAACAAACTACAAATTACAAGTTACTGAGAGTTGATTACTACCCAGACTTTAGTTTCTTCTTGATTCTGAATGTACAGGAATCAGGCAGGCACTAGAGAGTGGCTTAGAATCTTCTATTAGAAAAACCATGTATGAATTTGTGTTTTTTTGTGCAAAATGTGCATCGAATCGATCTTGGTCATGTCAAAAAGCTGATCAAATTTTCCTTCTAAACTTTGATTGTCATGTAAGCTGTCTACTTTGAGGTTTCAATGACAATTCAAGAGGTGTGGACTTTTTGCACATTTCATCTTTTGTTTGATTTTTTATCTTTAACTTTTATGATGTTGCCATTGATCAAACCCACTTCATTTTGGGTACCTTTTTGCTGCAGTTAATCTGTTAAATGCATGTGTTTTATAATTTTACACTAGTACCTGTTAATGCGCTTGAGCTACTACTTATTTGGTATATTACCTACATCTAAAGCATGATATCAAAGAAACCCCCATTCTGAGATCAAGAGGTTAATTCGGGTGTTTGAATCTCCTTACTTACAAGCACAGTCGGACTTTGATAATGTGTGTGAGAAAAATCTCTCGGTCAAAAAAAAACTTGTAGGCTTATTGGGTTGGGCTGTGGTATGCAACTGATGGGCCTTGCATGAACCCAAGTTTTATATATGTATGGGCCCAAATAATGTTAGGGTTAGATTAGTTGAGTCATTCTATGCTAAGTATTAGCTAGTAAAAATAAATAAAAACTCGCCAATGCGATTGTGATCTGTATTTATGGTGTCTCCTTAAATCAACCCATCTGCCCTTTGATTTGATGATTTTAATGAACTCCATAAACCAAAGCAAATCTCTTCACACCTTTCCCAAAAACTAAGAACACCATGACACGTTTCGAATGAATAGAGCGAGTAGTATGCCACGCATGACATGAACCCCCTTCTCCCTGGGAGCATTTTTGCTCACCACTTTAATCATAGGTGTACTCTCACCACCAACTTCAATGCTTAACACGTGTCCATAAGTATAATCATGATTCCATAAATACAAAGCAAAAGTTAACTATGGTTATGTTTATGGACACGTGTCAAGCATTAAGAATGATAATAAGAGTACACCTATAATTAAAGTGGTGAGCAAAAATGCACCCCCTTCTCCCTCCCCAGTTACAGTGACAAAAGCAGAAGAAAATCAGCAAATTGCAGAAGCAGCAGGCTGGGTGGGTATATGTGCCACCTATATATTTAAAAAAACAAATTACTAAACGTGTAGCTGTGCTAGAGTGTAGTAGTGGGATAGGATAGTGTAGAGTGCAGTGCACGATGTGATTGATTGAAATGAATAACCAAACAAGTAAGCCAAATCACAGACACACGTTTTTGTTTTTGTTTTTTAAATGTGGGATGGGGTTGGTACGATTTTAATGGCTGATGCAAACTGCTGTAGATCCGGCTGTCTCTGATCACAATCTCCGGATCCCGTGCCGATTCTGATTGATTGGCATATATATTTATATCACCTTTATCGATTGTCGTCAACGTTAATCTGATCAGTGATCTCTGTGATACTGACTTCGTCTGCCCTAAATATGAAGCATTGATCAAATTCTTTAACCCCAAGACATAAGCATGGTAGAAAGACTTCCACGAAACAGGGTATCAACATTTTGCTATTCTCAATTAATAACGTTATGATATGCATGATAACACATTTGCGTGATGTGACTCTTATTTCCATTGCAATTAAGTTTCTCTCAAACATTTGGTTAAATGGCCAAATAACAAGATCCTTTTTAAAAGTTATTTAATTTAAACCGTCGAAGGTGCATCCTTTTTAGATACAACATAAGTTGTAGCTTGTAGCAAAGATCAAAGGGTGATGATGATAATTTGGTTGGTATAACTAAAATTACTTGGGGTAGATAAGAGCCAAGATGGTTCCTGAGTGAAAGATAATAGGAAATAAACACAAGACTTCGTGACGGTCTTAATCCAACTAAGAGTACTAGTAGCTAGCGAGTTAGACAACCTGAAAAATGCGTCAAAATCTAATAACGACCCGAGAACCGACGTGATGTTTGAGCATACAACATTATCTCAATAGACATCTCTAGATGCTCAAGCACTGAGTGAACATAATTTGTACACAAGCGTGAAGGATAGCATTCAATCCTAAAACTAATTAACTTGTGATTTTCGAATCGCTATTGCAACACTTTTTCACTTTGGCTTTATGCACTTGAAATGACAAACTGGACATGCGCATGGCATGATGCCTATCGACTATATGATTATGTCTGTATATATATTCTTAATGTGTCACATTTGATTTGATACACATTCTTACTTTTATGTCTTTAGGTTTACAATGATCCACACTAGCTAGATGGATAGTGGATTTGGTTATTCAGGATATTTAAGGGATTGTTTTGGAACTAACAACGGTTATGATTTCTCAAGGGCTGAAAAAATAACAACGAGGGTTATAATTATTTGGTGGCCACTTTGAATCTTAGAAAGAAAAAGTCAAATGTCATCATAGAGCAAAGTGGGGAAAATGTTGGATTTGGTAGTGATCTTAATAGCCACGACGACAAGTTTATCTTGATTTTGCTAACTAATTATTGGTTTTTCTACATGCATGCATGCTCTTTGGTTTTCCTGCATTCTTATCCCTTGGTTGTACATGCATGCATCCATTTTTCCAGACAGTGAATAGTTTCTTCTTATTTTTCTTTTCGAAATTGACTACCATGTTCCATGTTTTAATCTAATTAAGGAGCTGAAAGAAAAAAAATTAACCTAGGGAGGAAGATTCAGAGTACCTAATTATTCGTTTATTAACTGATATAAGAACCATGATCCAACTTAAGGAGGAAGATTAAGAGTACCTAATTACAGAGAACAAGAAAGGCTATTGGTCCCTTTCTCCACATGCATACATAAAAAAGCAAATGCATTTAGTCATGTTAGAGTACCTATAGTTAGGGGTAGGGCTCTTACTCTCTTGATTATTATTTCATGATTACTCAAAGCTTTAAAAAAACGCCGGCCATATATCGGAGATCGAGTAGCCTGCCCCGGCGAGGAGAACCAGCCGGTAGAGGAATGAATTTGGTCTCCTTTTACGAAATGAGCTTTGTCCCATCATTTGCTTGGGTTGGGAACTTGGGAGAGAAGAGAAATCACTTTTTATGACTAATGATTTTTTCTTCTTTTTTGCCTCAAGTAGTAAGAGGTCTTGAGTGTCCATGTTCCTCATCATCTCCTATTTGGAAGATGTTGAAACCTTTTTGAAATGAAAACCCAGCAAACAAATGCCTAGAATCCATTAATGGATCTGCTTGCAACTGCCGATTACCAGTGACCTATTATTTGTCCAAAAACGCTTAGACGTACAGCCAAGCAAAAGCACATTTTCCACATGCATTTCCCACCCACAATATTTGTACGAGACTAGAAGCACTTGTGCGGTACTTTGGTTCCACAAAAATCTATAAGCTCCACTCATTGCTATCACCAAACTTGCATGACCCATAAGTTTGTAATAATTCCCTTTTGGCCATTCAACCATGTGATGTCCCTTTTCCTTGCATACTTGCTCCACTATCTCTCCCTTTGCGTTGTTACCTTTTTCTATCATGCATTAGGTGTTTGAAGTCCATGCTCAGTCGGAAAGCTGCAGGCCTAATTAAGTCAACTCTACATTGTTCCAATTATGCTGAGGGCCAAAGCTAAGTATATAATAATTAAGACCTCTCCTACTCAGAATTTACCTGAAAAATCTTGTACCCCGATGAGAGAGTGAGTCGTGGAAATTATCCTCTCATTACCCAAAAACATGGTTAGATGAATGCTCCAAAGGCTAATCTGACCTAATTTGATCACTCTTTCATTTCAGGTCTTGCTGAGTTTCAAATGTATTTGGTCGCTATTTCTTGACAAAACCCACACATGACAAGACAGACATACATTATATATATATATATATAAATATTGTTGTGTAAAGCTTGTCAATAAACTATTACAAGTGAGTCATGACTTAATGTGCACAAAGTGATTTTATTTTACCAGAAAGAGGTTGCTACATAGTGGTGCAGCCACTACAATTTGTTCCATTTCCCTTAATTGCTACAAAAAGAACTCTGTGATACAAGTCCAGACCTTTGACCCTTGGTTTACCCATTCAGCCATTTATTTCCCTTATTTTATTTTATTTTTTAAATTCACCCCTTTATTCCTTTGGCCTGAAGAAAAGTTGATCCATCAGCTGATGAGGCTCCACGCACTAAGCATTATTTATAAATTTGAACAAATTTTTGTTGGTATTATTATGCAGTAACTGCACTAAAAATATTCCATAATATATTTATAATGCTTTGTTTATAATGAACATTGGGATCCTATATCCTACAGCATGTTCTATTATCTTACTTGTTTTTTCGCCCGGCGGTTTCTGCCCTTGTCAATAAAGGTAGGGTGGGGTTTAATGCCTAAGCTGTGATTACCAAATTTCTTGGATTTCACGACAGACTTTTATGACTTTTATGTCGGAATTTCTTTAGTTTTTTATGGTTATGTATGGAGGTATATTTGTGCACCTAATGTTATTGGTGGAGTTCTTCATATTTGGAGAGGTTAATGAGCTTCCGTATTTGTAATAACCTTGTGTGATTATCTATATTTATACTGGCTCTTGTGATTGATGGTCTTTGTGCTTAAATTATAAATGAAATCTATCGTTTTTGTCTATAAAAAAGATGTCATCACTTGCTAGAAACTATAATAAATATTTATGGTCTGCTTTTAATTATATGTTTAACATCATATTGTCAATTCCCCTTCTGCAATGGGCAAATCTAATTGGGCTTCCTAATCTTTGCCTCAATTAATTTGTTGCGTGCTTTCTGTTTTTGACCTAAATCTTGATTATATTTATTTCGTGGGGAAACCCAAAGCCACTAAGCAAGTTTTAAAACATCTTGCTTTATAGAATATGGACAGCTTGGGAGCTTAACTATATTAAATTTTTATTAGATGATTGTTTAGCATGCATGAATAATGAATTATTGCACTGCTGATACCTCTATTATGGCAAATAATTTCCTCCTCTTGTTTAGACGGAAGCCAGATTCTGACTTTTTTGTTGAAAAGCTGTTTTAAAAAAAACAATCAAGCTGGCCCTTGAGATTTTCAAGATTTGAGGTACAATGTTTAACAGAGTAAACGTGTGTATCCACGCCACGTCTGTTTGGAGTTTGAAAGGATTTTTTACATCACCTGAAGGCGTTT